GGGCACCCAGCCCAGCTTGCAGCCGGGAGAGGAAGCCTGTTTCACGAGCAACCGGCTCATCCTCGGGCACGTCGTCCGGCATCAGGCCCGAATCCGCCTCCTCGCAGCCGAAACGCGCTGCTCCTGGCTCGCCTGTGGAGCAGCCCCGAGAACTCGGCCTGCGCTTCTGCAGCCCGGCCTTCCGCAGGCGAAGAGAACGTTGCCTCTCCCGCGGCCCTCTTCTCCGGGCTGGACGTCCCCAGCGCTTCCGACCGCCCTTCCCTGCCTCCTCCTGCCAGGCCTCGCAGCGCTCCCTCGCAGCGCGGGGCCCGGCAGCGCCTTGCCCGGTTCCCTCCAGCTTGAGACGGAGCCCTGGATGTACGCGCCTCGGGCCCAGTTGTTCAGCCGGCTTTGTCTTCCCCTAAGACAAGCCCAGTCCGGGCCACGTTGTGTCCCCTCCTCTAACCGGGATGCAAGGGAGCCTTTGCCCGATGAGAAGCGAAGGTATCCGGTGCCCATCGCGTGCCCCTGGAAAGCTAGTCCGGTCACTCTGCGATGCCCGTGCAGGCTCCTCCGAAGCGACCCATTCCTTGCTCCAGGCTCACTTGCCAGTTGCTCCCTGATCGTCTCTCCTTCGAAAGGCCAGAGCGAGACTCGCCTTCTCCAGGCCTCTGCGCCACACCCGTCCTCCGCGGTGTCTCCAGGATCCCCGGAAGGGGCTCCAAGGCAGCCCCAGGAAGCTCGTTCGGGACTCTCGGGTGGGAGCCAGGGGCCCCCTGGCCGTCCCTCCTTCGCCTGGGTTGCCACTTAGGCCCCTTCGGACCCAGCTCCTCTTTGGGGAAGAGGCCAGGCAAAGGAGGGGCGGAGGAGCTCTGCCCTCTCCCCAACACCGCTTACTGTCCCGTAATCCTTTCCTAGAACCCGGCTCACTCCTTCCTTTTTCTCCTGACATAGATGTAAAAATGCTTGCTTGCTCTGAGCTTCCCTTGGAGGCCTAAGTTCCTGTTGCGCTTCGTCATTTTCTGTTGGCAGACATTGACTACTTGCTGGTAAACCTTACCGTTGATTTCCATTTTCTATCCGTGTCCCTTTTAGCTCGTGGCTCCCTTTGTATCCGTGGCTCCCTTTGTATCCGCAGTAGGCTCTTCAGCTGCCCCTCCCCCTTTTCTATTCACCCTGGAATAGGGTGCAGTTGGACTTATGTTTGAGACGTTCCCAAATCTCCTGTGCTACTTAGACCTGAATCTCTCTGATTGTGGGATCCCATCAAGTACTTCTCTAAAGCTGTTGCAATTGGTTTTAAATTTAGCACGCGTGGACAACTGCATTCTCATTTCTCTTCTGTAGCATCTTGAAGCCCAAGACGGCCATGTCCTCCCAAAGTTCCCACCGCTGCTTTGACTTCTTCCCTATTGGTTAGGATCAGCACTAGGAGAGCCAGTTCTCTTGCCTCTTGTTCAGCCTTCTGGAAAATGGAACAGTCAGCAAGGCCAGCGAGAAATGTCGGGAACCTCGCAGTCGTTGCTGAGTTGGTGTTATAACCGTGGTCTCCAATGTTTACCTCTTCTTTCCTCCCCGAGGGGAGGTCTGTAATCTGGTCCAGGAGGGCTTTCTCGTGATCTTCTGCCTGGCTTGTTAGTCTGTAGAGCACCCTCATATTAATAGCTCGGTTGTTTCCCCTTCGTTGTATCGAGGAGGCTAAATTTCCTCAGATTCTTTAACTGTTCCTCATAGCCTTTGGTTTCCACGCTACTATCTTGGTAGCCTTCTTTGAACTTGCTTTGTTCCCGTCCTTAGCATGCAGAAGTGACCACGGTTCTCCCAATGGGGTCTGACCAAGGCCGAGTAGAGTGGAACGTATACTTCCCACGACGGGGACTCCGTGCTCCTGTTCATGCACCCCAGTGTAACTTTGGCCTTTTCCCCTCAGCAGCTGCTCTGCGCTTCTATTCAGCTTGTGGTCAACGGTGACACCCAGATCCTTTCACACGTGCTACTGCCAAGCCAGGTCCTGATCAATGACAAATACAGTGTTTCATATAGTTATAACTATAATATAGTTTCATTTTTTCCTACACAGAAGCAGAACTTGACATTTGTCCCTGTTAAATTCCATCTTGTTTGCAGCAAAGCTGTGTTGGACCTCGTTAATCATTGTGTGACCATCCAATGCTCATAAACATGCTCCTTGTTTACGAGCATGATCTGTTCAAGGAGTTCGCCCAGCATAAATGTCAAACACATAGTCTGTGGTCTCCCAGGTCTTCCTCCCCCCTCCCCATTTGAAGATGGGGATACTTACTCTTTTCTTGCTCCCCCTCCCCACAGGATTAATTTAAAGCCCTCCAGCTGGGAAGAACTGGTTTGCCATGATTCCTTCCTTTTGGAAATGTGGCCCATTACCAAAGAAAACAAACTTTTCCCATTGGCACCATCTGGGTAGCCCACTGTTCCCTTCCAGGATTTATCTCGCTCTTCCTGGGCTACGTCTTTCAGTGTTTTAATGCTTTAACCACGTGGAGTTGGGAGAGAGGGCTAAGGTGGGGTTGGACTCCTTACTGGGGTACTTCTCTTGTGGTACTTGTTCCAAGATAGCCTTATTGGCCTTCCTCATCCAAATGAAAGTTTCTGAAACTTCTGGTTGGTTCCCCCCGTGCCCCTACAGAGACTGCTATCCCAGGCCATGGGAGGGCATCATGAGAGGCGAGCCGGGACCAGACCAGAGGGCAGGAACTGACATGGCATCTTTTGGCTAAGAAAACATCCCCTTTCCTCTGGTTTTGTCCCCAGACCAAGCACTCTGTCTCCCCTTTGATAGAGGGTGCAGGTGCTGTCTTTGGTGTGCCCTGCAGGGGAGTGCCTGAAAGGTTGTTTGTCAGGTGGATCCTGTCTCTGGTGAGTGAAGGTGTTGGCTTCTGGCTAGGGACTGCACCTCCCTGTGAGTCTTCAGGTCACCAAAAGTAGAGCTGACGTGCAGGGGGAACACCATGAGACCTGATGCATCCTGTCCCCCCTCCCCACAGGACCCGCTACATCCAAACTGAGTTGGGCTTTCATGAGAGGCTCTTTGTGGCTGTGCTGACCTCCAAAGCTACCCTGAACACTTTGGCGGTGGCTGTGAACAAGACAGTGGGCCACCACTTCACCCACCTGCTCTACTTCACGGGATTGCGCAATGCCAAGGTCCCACATGGTTTAGCCCTGGTGCACCATGGTGACGAGCGACCCGTCTGGCTGATGTACGAGACGATGCGATACATCCACCAGCACTTTGGGGGTGACTTTGATTGGTTCTTCATCATGCAAGATGACACCTATGCCCAAGCACAGCAAATCAAGACTCTTGTGTCCCACCTGAGCATTAACCAAGATGTCTACCTAGGCCGGGCTGAAGAGTTCATTGGAGGGGATGAGCAGACACACTACTGCCATGGAGGCTTTGGCTACCTTCTCTCCCGTAGCCTGCTGTTCAAGCTGTCCCCATTCCTGGACAGCTGTCGCAATGAAATACTCAGTGTGCGCCCTGATGAATGGCTGGGACGCTGTCTCGTGGACTTCCTGGGCATCAGCTGTGTCTCTCAGCATCAGGTATGCCCACCTGCCATGATCCGGGGCAGTGGAGAGGGAGGCCTGGGGTTGTCATCCAGCTGGAGGAAGAGGAACAGCTGCGCCAGGGAGGTTCCTGTGTGTGTCATCCTCCTGCTTTTGGTCCATGCCTGTCCTCTCTTCATATCCAGACAAGCAGAACCCTGCCACAGAGAAGCTGCAGAGGACCTCCTTGCTTTGGTGCCTTCCACGAGGGAGGAGATCCAGAGTCTTTTGCTCCCTGCGTTTGGGTGGGGATTCCAGAGTCAGCCATCCTGGCATTGGCTGAAGGGGAGAGTTATCCCAGGCAGGCAGGATTTTGTGAGCAGAAGAGGCCCTCTGCCATCCCATTGTCTTTGAGACAGGTCTTCTGCTTGGTGTGCAGCTTACAGCCAAAGCTCTGTTCTTTTCCTCTGACACCCCCTTGAAGGAAGCCTGAAGGCTTTTCCAGGAGGGTTCCTGATTGCTAGTGCAGCTTCCAAAAGGAGCAGGCCACAGAACCAAGCAGTGCCTGGATGATGGTAATGGTGGTGGTGGTGGTGGTTCCTGTTCCTAGAGAGGGAGGGCTCCTAGGGCTTCCCCTGCAGTTGAGTCTTGTAGTCCTCAACCCTCCGAGACTTGAAAAGGGCTCCCACCGTGGGCAGTTCTGGGTTATCTCTCCTATAGCACCTTTGCTTTGGCTTTCTGGAGGGGGGGGATTTCTTAGGTGGCCACTCAGAATATTTCAGGGGCTCATTCTGCATGGAAGGGGGCAGGCAGCCCTTGGGCACAAAACCCAGCCAAGGATGAGACCCAGCCAGCCAGCCAGCCATCAAGGAAGAAGAGTGGGTGTTTGCTCAGCTGGTAGAACAGAGCCCGCTTCTTGGAGAATGAATGGCCAATGGTCTGCTGCCATCTGCCTAGGCCGTAGGGGGGTTCTCTTGGGCCCCTTGGTCAGGAAGCGTCTTCGTGGGTTCTGGTCCCCCCTACTTTGCAAAGGAGACTTGCTGCAGTGGTTTGTGTTCCACGGATGGTGAGGAGCAGGAGGGAGGTGGCAACGTGGCCACGAATTTTGAGACTTGGAAGCAGTGGCTCATGGAGGTGTTTGGAAACCCAGAAGTCACCCCCCCCTTTTCTTTCTCCCTCCCCCTCCCCACTTCAGGGACAGTATTATCGCTCTTTTGAACTAGCTAAGAACGCAGACCCAGAAAAAGAAACTGGAGAAGAATTTTGGGGAGCAATGGTGGTGCATCCTGTGGCTGAGGCAACTCTCATGTATCGTCTGCACAAGCAGTTCAGTAGGATCGAGTTGGATCGGACCTATCAAGAGATCCAGCAGCTTCAGGTAGTGTGGGGGAGGGAAGGCCAGGCATGACCAAGCTCAGAGCTGGCACAAGGTAGGCTCTGGGCAGGTACGCAGAAACAGGTCCTCTTTCAGTCAAGGATCCTTCTTGTGGTTCAGGGTAAACAGAACCCAGAGCAGCTCAAAGCTCCCATGTTCTGGATTCTAGGTTGTTGGCATTGACAAGGGGTCTCCGGGACTGGCCTGGGCTGCAGGGGTGGCAGAAAGATGCCACTGAGCGCCTTTCAGCTCCTGTGGTCCAGGACCAAGAGTGGGACTTCTGTTGGTACAAAGCACAGCTGAGGAGTCCTGACAGCTGGGATGCAGCCATCACTGCCTCCCGATTTCCTTCCAATCCCGATTCGAGGGGTTTCTGAGGGACACCTCTTCCTGGATGCCCCCCCATTCCTTAGCAGCCCTTGCTGAGGTGGAAGGCGGGGCTGCTCGGGAACCAGCATCTCCTGTCAGCTCCTGACTCCGGAATGCTTTTCCCAGGAATCTGCGTCTGACCCTGGCTGCCCTGTATTTTGGGTTCCAGCTTGAGATGTTTTTTTGTTCTACTGGGCTTTTTAATACATTCTTACGTCGATATTTTAATTTTCATACCGCAGCAGTCCATCTGCTGTTAGTGCTTTTCTCATTTGTACATCCTGTATTTGTAATGATAACTTTAAGGTGATAATTTTTAAAACTGTAGTTTTAGAATCTGGTTAAGAAAATTCTGTCTTGAAGGGCAGCATACACGTTATTAAGTTAAAACCACTGCTTAGAAATGAAGGAGTGAGATGAGTGGTTTCTTCTTTTCTCCCCTCTGGTAGGTTCAGATCCAGAACCTGACAGCCCTGCTACCAAATGGGGAGGCTGGCCCGACATGGCCTGTGGGCATTAATGCCCCTTTTGTGCCCAGGTCCCGCTTTGAGGTGCTCAGCTGGGACTACTTCACGGAGCAGCACCTGTTCTCATGCCACAGCGGGGCCCCCAAGTGTGACCTGGCAGGAGCCAGTAAGGCAGATGTGGCTGACATCATCCAAGCTGCCCTGCAGCAGCTGAACCAGCGCTACCAGCCGCAGCTGCGCTTCCACAAGAGGCAGCTCCTGAACGGGTATCGGCGCTTCGACCCCACACGGGGCATGGAGTACACGTTGGATCTGCTGCTGGAGGCGGTCACTCAGAAGGGTCACCGCCGTCTGCTTGCCAAGCGAGTGAGCCTCCTCCGGCCCCTGAGCAAGGCGGAGATCATCCCCATGCCCTACGTGACTGAAGCAACGCGGGTCCAGCTGGTGCTGCCAGTGGCTGTGCAGGAGGCGGACTTTGTGAGCAGCTTCCTAGATACTTTTGCTGTGAATGTGTTGGATACCCACGACAATGCTGGGCTCTCCCTGCTTTTCATCTATGACCCCTACAGTGCCCAGCGGGTCACCCAGATGGATGTCTTTGCGGGGGTCAAGGCCATGGTGGCTGAGCTGGAGAAGCGCTATGTGGAGGTCAGGGTCCCCTGGATCAGCATCAGGATGGAGGCCCCCTCCCAGGTGAAGCTGATGGATATCATCTCCAAGAAGCACCCTGTGGACACTCTCTTCTTCCTGACCAGTGTCTGGACAGAGGTTAACCTGGACGTCCTCAACCGCTGCCGTATGAACGCCATTAGCGGCTGGCAGGTCTTCTTCCCGGTGCATTTCCAGGAGTTCAATCCAGTGCTGGCCTTCCAGGGCGAGCAGTCAGCCACTTCTCCCAGCACAGACTTTTTGCGGGACGGGCACTTTGACCGGCACGTCTTTGCCGAGGCCTGCTTCTACAATGCAGACTACATGGCTGCCCGTGCTAAGTTGGCAGCGGACACCCTGGGCCAGGAGGAGGCTCTGGAAGACTTGGAGGTCTTGGATCTCTTTCTGCGCCATTCAGAGCTGCACCTTTTCCGAGCGGCAGAGCCGGGGTTGATCCAGAAGTATGCGCTGAGAAGCTGCAATTCCCACCTGAGTGAGGAGCTCTACCACCGTTGTGTCCTCAGCAACCTGCAGGGCCTGGCCTCCCGCTCCCATCTGGCCATAGCTCTCTTTGAGCAAGAGCAAGGCAACAGCACCTAGGTGGCCCGGGGGTGGGGGCGCTGCTTAAGCGCTGCCTTGTCAGAGATTAAAGTTTTCTTGCTGGTGTGTCTGCCTCCGCTCTGCCTGTGCCAGCTTGGCAGCCAGGCGTGTGTGTGTGTGTGTGTGTGTGTGTGTGTGTGTGGCGGGTACTGGAACAGCTGTGGTCCTAAAGGAGCCACCTGGGCCTTACGCCCAAAGACTTGCTCCCAGGGTCCCATTCCAGCTGCGTTTGTGCGATAGGCTCTGGTGATTCAGTCTCTTTTCCTCAGGACATGCTGAACCCTAAGCTGACCCCGAGGCACCCAGAGGACTGGAGGCGTTTGTCAGAAGAACGAAAATGGCACTGCGCCATCGCGCTGCAAGGTCCACCCTTCGGTAGGTGTACAGAATGTCATGAAGCTGTACAAAAGGGGTGGAGCTTGTGTCTTGTCATGCGCCACCCCTCACCCTGTGAGCTGCTGACAGCATGTTCCAGAGCACACCAGGCTCTGGTGATGTGGTTAGGAGGTTCCTGGTTAATGTGTATCACGCTGAGCACAGACAAGCCAGATGGATCTTGGCCTAGTGCAACTTCCTCTTCCGTCGCTCACCATGACCAAAAGGTTGGGCTTAACAGAGCTGTTCAGAGGGGTGCTCTGCATGTACTGCCCCAGGGGGTGAGGGGTCTCTCCCAAGACAGGAGCTGGGTCTCCTTTCTGGGGGGAGAAATTAACCCTTCCTTGGAAGACAAGAACAGACCCTGCCCTTTTAATTGGTTAATTGATTTTAGCATTTCAACTTGTTTAACTTTGTTTTTTCTTTAAAATGTTGTTAGCATATTGGCACCAGCAGTGATAGAAAGCCGGGGGGTACAAATAAGCCAGTTGCCGTCCCTCTAATGTCCGGCCAGGCAGGCAGGCAGGCTCCCTATGAGCTCCAGAAGGGCTTGGAAGGAGCAGAAAATGCCACCAGGTCTTGCTTGCTCACTGGACAGTTCCTCCTCTCCCTCGGTGGCTGGGGGAGATTTTAAGTCATCAGCTACTCTCCATCTTGTCACAGCAACCTGGAAACTCTGAAGGGAGGCCTGGGGGGTTGTGGAGTACACCAGGCAGAGCTCCAGGTTCCTGAGACAGCTGGCTTCTAAGTCATGCCTTGGTGGAATTCACCTTGTTTTCCGGCTTCGCACAGCCATGTGGTGCCATAGATAGGCCATGTGAGTTGGGGTTTCCACAATATACCGGGTAGAATATGGTTAAGTAACTGGCAGTTCTTACACCCACCACTAATTATGGACTGTCATATTATGCAAACCCTTGGTTGCAAGGTGTCCACCAGAACATGTGAGGCTGGTTTCTAAGGGTGTGAGGTTGAGTGGGCTGACCTGCTGCCAGGAAGGAAGAGAAGTGGGTAGGTGCCAGCCTGCCCCTTGGCTGTTCCTGCAGGCTCTTCTCGTGCCCTCCCTCCTGCCCTTGGGCTTGGTGGCAGAGGAGCTGCTTCTGTGGCTGTTGGAGCCAAAGTGGGCCAGGGCACAGGCAGATTTGGGGTCTGATGGAGCTGGTGCACTGGGGAGATGCCTGAGTTGGTGCAACACCAGGGACGGTCCCTCACACCATTGTGGGCACTTGCTCTGCTTGCATAGGATGCAGGGCTCAGCAGAGGCGCCAAGTTTGTTTGCTTCGGCCTCTCCCTGTGGCCCTGAAGTGTCGATCCCTCCCTGGCAGAGGGGCACTGCCATTGCTTAATGTTTTCTGCTGGGGGAGGCGACGGCTGTTTTCACCTGCAGCCCTGAGGCTTTTCTGGTCCCGAGTGGTTTCCTTCCCTCCACGGATGCCTCGGCTTGCCTGCCTTTGTGCAAGTCCGCTGGTTTCGCTGGCCTGCGCTAGGTTGTTTCCTGGTGCTGAGGGGCCAACCCTTTGCGCGCAGGGCAGTGGCTGTTGTCAGACAGGTGCCGAAATAGGCAGACTAGCGCTGGCCTTAGCTGCTCTTGAGGCTGCCTGCACAGCCTCCTCTGGGGCCAGGAGCTCGCCTCCCTGCCGGGCGATGCTGTGCTTCGTTTAGAGTTTGTGGTGTCACTGAGAAACTGGGGCTATTTCAGTAAATCTCTTTCAGTTAGTGATAGGTAAGCATATCGTGTGAATGTAGCTCCCCCATTAACCGGGATCATTCCCTCCCGGCAATCTCAGCTCTTGCTTATTACAGGGACATCTTTACTGAGCAGCGCTACTGGTCCATCAGCTTCCATAACCCAGGGTATCCTGGTAGTCTGCCAACCAGGGGCTAGCCAGGGTTGGTCCTGCTTAGCTTCTCCTGTGTAACCAGGTTTGGCTGGAGACTGTCCCTGCTAATACCTGTTAGGCGCATGTTTTGCTGACTTCGTCCCTCAAGCTGCTGGATGGGAAGTTTGGGGTGGGAGGTTTGGGAGGGCTAGGGCTAGGGCTCAAATGCCCTGCAAGGTGCCCACAATCTCTCTTAAGCCTTGCCTTCTTCCTTTGGGCTGCCTGACCCCACCCGTTCTCTTTGCTGACTTGGCTTCTCTCTTGTTGTTCTGAGGGATGTGTGTGGGTGTGCAAGTGGGTGTGCGGTGATTGCCAAATGTTTCTGCCCCTATGGAGTGAGCTGGAAGAGCAGGTGGAGCTCTGGCCCCTCACCAGCTTGCTTTGGAGTCTCCAGCCTGGCGAGATTTGCCTTTTGCGATCAGCCCTGCCCAGCAGTAGCCTTCAGTCTCCCCAGGGCCAAATGTGGGGTCCCTTCCAAGGAAGGCTGCTTGCCCATCCTCCTGCTTGGCTCCTTGTGTGCGTGAGCCGCCTTGACGCTGCTTATTCTGCCCTGTAGCCAGCCCAAAAGCTGGGGGGAAAATTACGTGGCTTCTGAAAAGGCTTATTCTAGACTGAAGTAAGTTTCTGTGTCCCTCTGCTACCCGGCGGAGGTCGTAAGCAGGAACTTCACTTCCTCGTGGCAGGTCCTGCTGGCTTCTTGGAACAAGCACCTGGTTGTGCTAGGCTGGCCAGAGGGGAGCAGCTCCGGAGGAGGAGGAGGAGGAGGAGGAGGAGGCGGCAGTAAAGGGATCCTTTTTTTTTCATTTTTTGTTTTATCCTGCCTTCATTATTTTTCATAGGCAGCAAACATATCTAATACTCCCTCTTCCTCCTCCTTTCCCTATGACAGCAACCCTGTGAGGTGAGTTGGGCTAAGAGAGAGGGACTGGCCCAGACTCCCCCAGCCGGCTTTCCTGCCTAAGGCGGGACTAGAACTCACCATCTCCTGCTTTTGAGCCTGGTGCCTTCACCACTAGACCAATCCCGCTAGTGTGGCTTTCGTCAAAAGGCACCCCCCTCCTGAAAATGAACGAAGTCCTATCTTGCCTCTCTAGGAGGTTCACGTGAGCTGCTGGTGCCACGCTGTTACCCCTCCTAGCCTCCAGACAGACGGGCAGAGATGTCGCCAACAGAGGGGCTTGGTCTGCTGGTCGGCTGCCTTCCTGTCCCTGGGATGGGGATCATGTGGGCATTTAATGCAGGGGAGGGGCTAAGGGCTGCGGCATGTGAGCGGATGATTCAGTGAGGCTGAACGTGGGTTGCATGTGGTGAGGGCAGGATGTGCTGGTTTTCCCTGGGTTTGGGACGGGAGGGGGACTTGGGTCACCAGCATGTGGGACTTCTCCCCAGTCTGTCAGATGAGTTGCAGTGCAACTCCTAGAATTAGCTACATTTGCATATGATTTTTTGTGGGCTTCCTGTCTCAGAATGGCTAGATACCATTCCACCCGTTTTTGGCAACCATGGTAGAAAGCCACAGAAAAATCACCTGGGTTTCACCTAATGGCACAAACACCTATCTGCGTTTACTTCTCTTAACTCTCCCCAGTCAATGCAAGCTTTCCTCATGCATTTATCTGTAAATGCACCCCATCTTTAAAAATGTGACATTGATATCTAGAAAGAGTCTAAAGCAGTTCATGAAGAGATAGAAAATATGGAAATTAAGTCAAGATAAAATATTTTAATAACAAATCTTCCCAGGCTGATCTTTGTTTATTTTTGATTGGGTAACTCTCTTGATTAGGTGGTGGAATTACGTAGTCATACAGTGTCTTGATTTCAATAAAACTGAAACTCTTTAACGTGCTGCTAGAAAGTGTCCCATGACATCCAGAGAGTACCAGAAGAAAATTCCCTATAGCCTCCAGGGTGGGCTGGATAATACAACAGTTAAGATGGTTGGGTTTTTGTCTTTTTGTGTGCAAGAGAGTCAGTTTTTTACTCCTGGGACTGTCTGGAAGAGTCCCTGCAGTTTTCTTGGCAAAGTTTTTTGGAAGAGGGTTGCCATTGCCCCTTTCCTAGGGCTGAGAGTGAGTGACTGGCCCAGGGTCACCCAGCTGGTTTTGTGCCTAAGGCAGGACCAGAACTCGTGGTCTCCTGGTTTCTAGCCTGATGCCTTCACCACTACACCAAAGTGGCTCTCTGAGGCTTAGTAGTTGACTAAAAAATAATGCATTGAAGGATATTCCTCGGTGGTTCTAAATCAGAGCGGAGAGGATCGAGAGGTGTGCCACAAGGATCAATCCTGGATCAGTATTTTGATTTATGATTTTGGTGGTGAGAATGTTTATCTGGTTTGTAGATAATACAGAATTAGGTAGGATAGCTAATCCTCTTGGAGACAAATAAATGATTTGGTTAGATTAGAGAAGTGGGCTGGAAAAAATGGAATAAAACAGAACAGTGGCAAATGCGAGTTGCTCAAGTATAAGGGTATGTGTGTGCTACCTAGCTTAGTAATTATAATGCTTGTAAAATGATTTTGGTATAGATTGCCAATTGAGCCAGCAGTATAATATGGCTGCAAAAATATTTTTTTAAAAGCAATTCTAGGCTTCATTAACAAAGATACCATTTTCAGATCATGGGAAATAAATATTCCATTCTGTCAATAGAAGAGAATATATGTAGCTCAAGGTTGAACTGAGGAGTCCTTGGGGTTCTTTGAGCTTGGTTGTTTTCTTGCAGACATTTTATTACCTAGCTAGGTAACATCTTCAGTAGGTAACTGAAGGTAATGAGGTAACTGAAGATGTTACCTAGCCGGGT